AAAAAAATTGGTACTGTTTCATAGAAATCTTTAATGACCTTTTAAATAAATGTTCATCTAATATTTTATATAGTCCTGTATAACTATCATTTTGAGAGCTCTTTATTGTTCATCCAGGAGCATACTGCAACTTGCCTTTTGAATTATGCTCTTTGTTATTTCCTATATGCTATGTCTGGAAGTATTAGAATATTTCAAATTTGTATAACTGGAAAATATTTTACTTTTAGTTTTCAAAGATATGTTTGCTAAGTATAAAATTCAAAGAGGACAGATTTTTTTTCTTTCTTTCAGTCCTTTAATTAGTCTAGTTTCTTACACACTTGGTCTTTCTTTTTTCTTTCTAATGTGGAATAAGATGGTATTTAATTTTGTTCTTCTATAGCTGATATTTTTATGCATATGCTTTAATGATTTTTTCTTTACCATAAGTTTTGGACAATTAAAAAATAAATTAAATAAAACTCATTAGTGGACTTAGAGACTTCCTACAAAGATTATGAGGTATTATAATAGATATAAAATATTGAACAGAATACCTGTTAAATAGTAGACACAAATGCATGTCAGTTCATTTGCTCCTGCACAGTGTGAAACTTCAGTAGTTTTTTATAATAAGGGAAAAATAAATTTTTCTAGGGCCAGCCAGATAGCTCAGGAGATTAGAGAGCCTGCTTAGGCAGATGCAGGGACCAAGGTTCTATCCCCAGTGTGCCATGCCCACCCTGCCCCAGGGCACACTGAGACAGCAATTGAGACTGGGCGTGGTGGTGCAGGCCTGTAATCCTAGCTTTGGGAAGCTGAGAACAGGAAAATCAGTATGAGTCTGATCTGTGTAGTGAGAAACTGTAGACCCTGTACTAAATACATAATATAATATGTAATTAATAAATAAATAGTTTGTCTCCCATTGCATTGTTTTCCTGCTCTTCTCAATATTACAAAGTGTTCTATTATAACTAGTAGAAGAAATTACAGAATCATCTCAGACACTGAAAAATAACATATGTACCACATTTCTAGATAATATTGCTATCAATGTTTCCGGCCATATTGTGGCCAAAATTGAATTTTTCATCATACTATGTATTACTTAAGAAAACAAATAATTCAAGAAGCTAATGATGTTATTGTTCTGAAATGATCTGACAATTATTGATCCTAACCTGAATTAATTTTCAAGATTATTTAAAGGATAATTATTATTTTAGAAATAAAGGCTAAAATTTTAGTTAAAAGAGGTAATACTTTCAAATGAACTTATCTTAAGTTGACTAAATCTTTAACAAGAACTGATTTTATGTCACATGTTAAAAATTTAAATGCAATATTGTCATTTACATATGAGCATACTTAAAAAATATTAGCATAAAAAGTGCTATGAGAGAAAGTATATTTGTGATATTTATAGAACATTAGACTATATTAAGGATTTATATGCTGTTTTAAAATTCTTACAATTTAGACTCAAACTAAAAGTGAGATTATTCTTTTCTTTTATCTTGTAAAATCTTATTTAAAGTGCTTAATTCAAGTAAGCCTTTGAACTCTTAATCAAAAATTTTCCTTTCAATGTTTCTGTTGGATTTCATTTTCTGGAAGCTTAAATGGAATTTATAATGAATTCTGAGAAAAATAAAAGCAGCTAAAATACAGCCATGCATAACAAAAGTGTTCCCTGAAAAACTCCAACATTTTTTTTCTCTTATGTTAAAGACATACATATTAGTTGAAAGAAAATAAAATTTCTATATAAAGAAAACAGGGTTTATTACAGGTAATAATTGCTTTCTGAGCACAAATCTTATTAACAAATCTTAAAGTTTTGACACTTAAGTTACATGGACACAATCCTATTAAGTATATTTATAATTACTGTAAATATTTTAATTATATATAAGTCTCAGAGCTGAAACAATTCTTGATATGTGAAGAATGTCTACAAAATGCAGTAGGGAAAGAGATGCATTTGGTGAGCATGATTAATAATAATGCTTAGGAACTGCTGTCCTTTATTTTAGCTAGGTGAAAGAGGGTCAATTACTCTTGAAGGAAACCATGTTGCTTCTATGAAATGAATATAACATAACAGGTCCATAATAACTGAATTGCTACAACAATTATTTAGACATGTCAATCATAGGGAAAGATCAAGTACATTAAGCTGAATAAGCATGTGGCCATTAATTCCCTGGAGACCCTAACAGGCAGAGAACACAAGATACAAGACATCTTTTATCATAATATATCAAAGAATTCTAAGTTCAACATAAATTTTCTCCTGAGGGAAAGCATTAGGGGAAAAAAAGAGAGAGAATAAAGAAGTTTGAGTGACTGTCTACATAGCAAAAGGATAATACTAGACTAAGGGACTGTTGGTCCTCGTGTTGTTTTCCTAAAAACAGAAGTAGTGTTAAACCCTGTTGATCACATTTACCTGGCCCTAGGGTCAGATTTGTAATCATTACAAAATAAAAGACCCTATTTACTGATGATTCTAGGTAGAAAGTAGAAATCTTAAAAGCCCTAAAGTTTCTCATCAAAACAGAATAACTACAGTAATATACTTGGTTAAAAAGCAGTGTGCCACATTTTTAGAAATACTATTTCTTACAAGTTTATTGCATTCTCTTAAGCAAAATGCAGCAAATAATTTTGTATCTTGATTTTTTTTAATAATTTTGTATCTTGAGATATTTATTTTTAATGTTGAAACATACAAGCTTCAAACATTTCTTCAATGCATCAATAAACCCTCATAATAAGTATTTTCTAATAAAAAATGATTTGAAAAAATTTCAGTATTGGAAAGTTGCAAAGCAGCTCAATGTTGACTATTTATAGTGCTCAGAGAGTATAGAGTTTCACTAAGTAAAAAAAGAAATGGATAGCAAGGAATACTTACAGAGCAAACTCTTGCACTGAAAAGAGATAACCATCTACTTATTGAAGAATCAGTTCTGACAATGAAAACACTGTCTATGATATGCATTCTTTTTTAAAATAAATATAGAATGCTTCATGAATTTATGTGTCATCCTTCTGCAGAGGCCATGCTAATCTTCTCTATATTGTTTCAATTTAGCACATGTGCTGCCGCAGAGAGCACTAATATACATTCAAGTACAAGTAAAAAGAATTAAATTTACAAATGTATAATAAAAGAAATGATTTTTGGGGCAAGCTTGATAGGTCAGTGGACTAAAATGCCTGCTTAGGCAGAGACCAGTGGCCAGTGAACAATCCCCAGCGTGTTGTGCCGGCCCTGCCCCCAGGGCACACTGAGATGAAGCCTGAGACAGAACGTGGTGGCACGTGCCTGTAATCCCAGCACTTGGGAGGCTGTAAACAGGAGAATCACTATGAGTCCAGTTTATATAGTGAGACCCTGTAGACCCTGCAGACCTGTAGATCCTGCCCTAAAATACAGGGAAAAAAATGATTTTATGTGGTATCAACTATTAAATGCTGCATAAATTCATAATAATGTAAATCAAGATAACTATGGCAATCAGGAAAAGTCTACTTTGTTTCATGTTTGTTTTTGGTAATAAGGTGCATTTCAGTTTGTCATTAATAATAAATGGCATTTAGATCAATAAGAAGAATACAAAGTTTAGAAGAAGGAGAAAATAAGAGGAAAAATAGAAGAAAAATTTGGGAGTTCATGTGAAGTTCATGTAATTACTTGTAAACTGTTGACTATTTCCCCCAATATATAAATGGCAGAATTAAAATTAAAAACAACTTGCTCATAAATAAGTTATGGCGACTTATTAGGCAAAACTATCCTATAGCATTTAAGAATGTCTATTTAAATATTCTAAGAAGATAGATTTCATATTGATTCTTAATACACATGTGCACACACACATATCTAATATAGAAGTGATAAAGAGGATGAAACACTTGAGTCACTAGGTTTAACATCTAAGGCTCAAGATTTTGTTACTTGTGTGTATCGGATGAAGTTATTTGTCTGAGTAGGCAAACGCTACAGAGATAAACTATACAAGGCCTTAGTAGATAAGGCATTACACCATAAGGCACACAATACTTAACTGCTGGCAACTTGTACCATTCCAACTGCTCTGTGTACAAACCTCTACTTAGTGGTAGAAGAAACAGACAAATTGTTCAGAGTGTCCCACATTAAACGTTTGTCTAGATTAAACTTCAAGCTAATGTGTAGTACATACACTCCAGATTTTCATCTGTTTTATTTACTAAATAACTGGCACCCAATAGAAAGGTGTAGGAATAAATGGATGACTCAATAAATCGATCTGAATTTCCACTCATCCTTACAGGACAAGTCACAGACATTAAAAACTGATTCAATCCTTTATTCTTAATCTAGAGAATTTTGGGAGAAGTATCCCAGAGTACTCTTACAGAACATACAGGCAAATTATTATGTTTTTAATATTAACTAAATATGACCTAATTTTAACTCAAGATGCTGATACCAGATATAACTTTCTATAAGAAATTCTTTGTGGTATTTTTCCACAAGTACTCTCACTGAAATTGCTTTCCTCCTGAAGAAAGGTACAAAACCTATTTCTGTGGATTTTATAAGCATAAGCAACTTGTAGAATATTTTTTAATCCACTCTTCTATCCATACAGCTTAAGATCCTTTGCAAATTTAAAACAAATTCCTGTTTTCAGTGAATGTGTGAATTAAAAACCTTCAAAGCATTTAAACATCAAAGTTAATGAGGAATTATCCTTTATTCACTAAAGTATATTATATAAGCTTACTTAAAGATGAGAGAATTTTTTCAAAAAATATCTAAGGAAGATTAAAATGGGCATTCCTTTCAGGGAGGGACATATCCCATGGTGACATTTCCTCTCCAATGTCCTAAACAACAATAAAAGCAAATAAACACACACACACACACACACACACACACACACACAGAGAGAGAGAGAGAGAGAGAGAGAGAGAGAGAGAGAGAGAGAGAGGAAGAAAGAGAAAAAATAGAAAAAAATGGAGAAGAGGTCATAGAACTTAGAGCTAAGAAATGCCGTAGAAATAATCTAGTTGGAAGAATGTACGCAATGTGTTAATTATTGAAACTGTCCTACCAATTTGGTTTGAAACTGTCTCATTGCTATTTGTTTCTCAATAAAATTATGGGGGAAAAAAAGAAATAACCTAGTTGAAACCTCTCATTTTAACATGTTAAACTGGAACTGAAAAGAGTTAACTCGAGATTTCTAAAACTAAACATTGCTAAGTAGTCTCTTCCATTATTGGACAATTTTAATAATTAAATAGCCCTTATTTTTGTCTTACATGGAATACTGTATTTTTACGTGGAACTCTAATTCTGCTTAACACATGAAGGAATACCATCTTGGACAGTACTTGAAAAATTTTAAGTTAGCAGTCATACTCTAAGTATTTCCTTAGCATTTTCCTCAGCTAATATTTATATTGGTGGTTTTAGACCCCTCCTGCAATCGTAGCATCCAGTTCTCCAGTGTGTCTCCTTAGATTCACTCAGTACGTAAAGGGCTACAGGGCATACCTGGAGCACTTTGGTTATGCATATATGTCCTCCATAGCACTTTGGGGTGAAAACAGCATTCCAGGAAATGAGTCATACAGGGATGGCATGAAGAAGAAAAATTTTCAAAAATCAAAGGCAAATGTGAAGAGAAACTAACATTTAGCAGTTAGAAGTTTTAAAGGTTTAAAAAATATAGAGCCTCAAAAAATAAATAAATAAATAAAATAAAAAAATATAGAGCCTCACATAAGGTTGACAGGAGAGTATGTGGGTATAATTATTCAGGAAGAAGGTATAAACACATCAAAATTTTAACTGTATAATATTTTGATTGCTTAATTCTCCAAACTTACATCAAAGGATCATGAAGCACAAGAGGCCCATATATAATATTCATAGCAACTTTCTTTAACAGACAAAAATGAGAAATAATCAAAATGTCCACTAGTAAGATACTGGTTAAGAAAGTAATGTACAAGTGTGAAATGAAATGCTATGTAATAACTAAAATAGATGATGACTCCATTATTAATATAGAAGAATACTGCTCTTTTTTAATTGAAAAGAGAGTAGTTCAAATGATTAAACATGTGCTATAATTCCATCTATATATAACTTTGCTATAATTATGTATTTGTTTCTGACATATAATTAAATTAGTATTCTGTTTATATTACTAAATTTATTATTACCAGTATTTGTTCAGAATATTAAAAGCAATCACTTCTGGGTGCCAGGATTTTAAGGTTGTTGTTTCATTTAGTTTGCATTTTTATATTTCTGTATATTTCCTTCATTTTTCTAATTGAATTTATATTATTTTCATAATTTTCAGAATAAAGAAACTGTTTCAACTTCAAAAAATACAGAAACTTTTGAAAGACAAACCAGTGGATAAAACAGGAAAAAAATAATTACCAAGGAAGACAAGGTCTGAGACAAGAGGAAGTCGAGGAAAGAGAAGAGAGATCTGAAAACGAAGGCATAGTCAAAATTTTAAAAGCAACAGAGAATTTAAAACAGTTGGAGACAGAGGGCTGTGTAATTTACTGTTAAGAGCACTATTTGGTTGTTTTGTTTTGTTTTTTCTGTATTTCAGGGTCTCACTGCTAGATCGGACTCATAGTGATCCACCCGTTTACAGCTTCCCAATAGCTGGGATTACACGTAGGCACCACCATGCCCAGTCTCAATTGCTGTTTCTGTGTGCCCTGGGGGTGGGGCCGGCATGGCAGACGCAGCGATTGAACCCCCAGTCCCTGCACCTGCTTGCAGGTGCTTTAATCCACTGAGCTATGTGGCCAGCCAAGAGCACTATTTGAATAGAGACATAAATACATATTGATAAACTATAAAAGGAAAACTTATGAGATATGACAGAAATAAGTCACTGACATCTAAACTATGTCTTGATTCTGTAAATATAATTTTTGTGCTCGTGATCAATACTGCAATTAGTTTTATTGGTGTTAATACTACATTTTTGGCTTAATCACTGTGATGTCTTGAAATCCACTCTTTTTATATCAGCATCTAATTGAATCATGGTAAGTCATTATTGCAAATTGAGCTATGGAAAGGAAAAGAGGGGGGTACTTTTAAATAATTTAGATGAAAATTAGAAATTCTTTTGTCAATAAGCATGTACAACTTTCAGTACAAATGTATTTGAGGTAATTTTGTGTTTTGGGGATCTTTTCTGCCCAAAATCAAACTCATGACCTCATGTTTGCAAAGCAGGCACACTGTGACTGAGCTGTATCCCCAGTTCTCACCTGAGGTAATTTGACGGTAATAAAAAGAACAGTCATAATATTTCTTGTCCTAGAGGCCAGACAACTTATTTCATCAGTAGAAAATTAGAATTTTACATTTTTGTACTTATAATTTCAATCATTTTTGTTTCCTTTATTATTGCTCTACCTAAATTTCATTGAGAGGTAGATGTGAGAGGAAAAGAAAGAGAATCTGGTATTATCATTGTGTCTCCAACACTTCTGATATACTATAGGTAGTAAGAACACTAAGGTGACTAAGAAAATGACAGAATGAAGGAAAAAAAAAACACATAAAACCAGAAACTAGAATGGCGATTACCACAAGCTGGCATGGTTGGCACAGGAATATGTTCAAGAGATTTATTACATAGCATGTATATAATGTTAAAAAGAGTTAAGAAGGTATGGGTTAATTTTTCATTTCTCTCACTAAAAAAAAATAGTAATTATATAAAATAAAGCTTGTACCAATTAGACATATTTAGCTATTCTATAAATGAAGTATACTTAGTTCAAAGCACCATGTGATGGCAACAAGACAACGACATCCATTATCACCACTGCTATTTAATGTAGTTCTAGAAACATTAGCCAGAGCAATTACAGAAGAGAAACAAAAGGAATAAAGATAGGAAAGGTATAAGTTAAATTATCATTATTTGCAGATGAAATGGTACTCTATAAAGAAGACCCCAAAAACTCCACCAAAAAGTATAGGTTTAATAACCCAATTCAGTAGTATAACAATACAAAGTCAACACTCAACAGCATTTCTATGCACAAGAAACAGACTCAAAGAGAGAAAAA